TTTCAAATTTGAATCTCATGAAGTTATTAAACGGCGATGACCGCAAATGCAAATAAACTTATTTAATCACAGGCTTATTTGCATTTGCGGTCATTGTCGTTTAATAACTTCATTATATTCAAATTTGAAATATTAGAGCATTTGCAAAAATGTATGAGCATTACACTTTGTTTGACATTTGAAGATTTTTTATTGATTGTATATCAATTCCAAATGTATATAGCAAATGCAATGCCTCCTTGTTACTTCTGAGACCTTATAGCAGTACTATAATTGATTAATTTTAAGTTTGTTAATGTATGAATTGTTTGTAGTTTATAAGTTTTGCTTTTGATAATGTTATATTTCATTTGCTAAAACCACTTTCTCGTATTTTCGAAATGAATCATTTCAATTTTCTTTGATACTATATGCATATATAATTAATAGCGTATTCGTTTTTGTGATATATAATTTGAAGTGAACTGTATTTTTGTTGTGTTTCATTGTGTTATTGAGAAACAGAAGAGATGAGTTGCTTCTTGAATAATAGAAATTCACCCACCGGAGGCCTATTAATATTACTTACATTAATGAAAAAATATAAGAATTAAGTAATAACACTTACTAATAACAATAACAGAGGTGTACTCATCATTAATGCATTTACTAATACTTTATGTGGTTCAGGCTGTTCGACGGTACTTTTGTCGATTACTCACTATTTGTTCTTTTATGATGTGGCTGAAAATCACTGAAGACACTGATGATCATGGTGCTTGTGTTTTTATTTTATTTTTTTTTATTGTTCTATAATCCATTTCATAACATACTTCTAGCCGTTAATCTCACTGCATGGAAATACTAAAAATGCTGATTTAAGTGTAATCCAAAGTTATAGTGCTTTGACATCTGAACACCCGGTTAGTATGGGTCTGGTGATTGGCGAAAGGGATTCTTTACACCTGTGAGGTAAAAGAAAACTTTTCAAATAATATCACAAGTTTCGTTACTTGTTTTTACACAAAGGTATTCTCTATGAAACGCTTTTCAAAATCATCTACCTTGTCAACAGGACCAATTCAATTACTGTAAATTTTTGTGTATGGTTCTCGTTAACAAGAAATACGCAATACTATTCATGAGCGTTAATTGTAAATTCAAGGGTCAATTGTAATGTTTACATAGGATTTGCAGTTCATGGTGAATTGAGAAAAAAGAACGTAGAACATAGTGACTTGCAACCGTTCTAATTTTCTTATGATTTAAGCCCCTTGGTCGGGCCCGGTGGAACCTTGAACTGATCGACGCGCGAAGGAAATCACTGTGGCTCAAATCTAGCCCTAGGGTGTTTTTTCACTGGCTCTTTGGCATACTCAGTACATGAACATGAGTGACATTCATTTATTTACATACTTAGGTACTTACGATATTTTACATAAGCAGATGTTTATCATGACCTATTGCAATGATTAGCTGAATGAAACGTGATCAACTGTAATAATTGCAATGAAATGTGGTTGGTTGCATTTAATTTCGTTAGAAATTCATTCCAAGTAAAACATTATTAGTATAATTTTCATTATTATTGTTGTAGTAGTAGTAGTATTTTATTATTATCACATATCATTATTATTATTATTATTATTATTATAAATTTACCTGCGTGTTTACCGGATAATAAAATAACAAATGATGTATGATATTCCCTTTTTTCATTGTATAAGGGTTCTGAATAATAATACGGCAAAATACAATCTACGAATCGTTACATGGAACGTTAGGAATATACGAAGCGGGGAAACACTGATAGAGAAAGAGAGAGAGTGAAACTGACATACTAGGCCTCGGAGAAATCAGATGGCCGGGAGAAGGATGTGTAGAAACAGAAGGAATTCAGTTAGTATACTCAGGAGGGGACACAGGGGAGTGGGCATTCTGTTGTCAAACACCTTATCTAGAGACATCGTGAGCTACTGGGCAATATCTGATAGACATATTAATCAACAGGAAGAATACTTAACATAAACTTAATACAGATATATGCTCCAACATATGGTAGTACGAAGAAATAGACAGATTCTATAGAGAAATAACTGAGGAAAAACAACAGTGCAAAGAGGTGGTAATTCTCGTTAAGGTGGACCAATGAAGTTTTGAAGTCATTGTTGCCAGTGTGGACTAGGTAAAGAAAATGAAAGGGGCACAATATGGATAGCACGGTGTTCAGAAAACGTGCAAATCATCATGAGCACATGCCTTAAACGATATTCACGGAGAATATGCACTTGTAAAAATCTTGGAGATAGACCTAGGAAATATAAATGGAATCCAGCTGAAAACGTATCCAGGGGCAGATCATAATCCAGTGCTAGCAACAATGTAACTGAAAATCAAGAGAGCTAGAAAAGAAATAGACAGAAGCAACAACAAAATGAACTTAAGAAGGAAAAAAGGATAAAAAAACTGTTCAACATAGTGATTAAGAATAGCTAGGAGACATTAAAAGAAGATGGAAAAAATCCACCCATTAATGAATGAAAGGAGAACATAAAATGATAAAGATGAAAAGTATAAGAAACTCCATAGGAAAATACACAAAGAATGCGCGAAAGCAAAAGAAGAATGGGTGAATGAAAGATGCGCAGAAATTGAGCAGGTAGATAGGGTTATTCAACAGAAGAAGTACGAAGAATTAGGAGAAATCACCAGCAAAAGAAAATACCATCAGAATGTAGAAATAAAGAAGTATGGAACAGAAGTCATGGAACTAAACGAAGTAAATGATAGATGGTCTGAATATATTAGTGAATTATTTACAGATAAAAGAGACGAATCTGGAGATATACAAAATAATGAGGAGCTAGACATTATGAAAGAAGCAAAAGTAGTAGCACTAAAAATGAAAAGCAAAAAGTGAAGAAGGATTTTAAGGAGAAATGCTGGAGGTACACAATGAGATAGCCAACAAGATTTACAGTACCCGAAAGTTAACAGTACAAATGTAATTCATAGTCATACCTAAGATCCAAAGGCCACTAGAATGTAATAAACATCGAATCATCAGTATCATGAATCATATGACAAAAATGTTTTATGTGGGTTACTACCAATAAGAAATAAATAGACCTGAAATTGCAGCAGAGCACTGTGTCGATTTAGCAAAAGTAAAGTTACAAGAAAAAACATTTTTGTGATAGGAAGATCAACAGAGAAGATGACTGAAGTACAAAAAAAAAACATTTGGCAGAGTCAGACATAAAGAACTAATAGATATGCTTATTAGAATAGGAGTAGAGGGAAGATATGCAAGATTGAGAGGAAATATATTGGAAACATGGAGAAACAGTGAAAGTAAGAGATGAAACATCAGATTAGCAGAAAATAAAAAATGTGTAAGGCAACGGTGTGTGATGTTAGCCGATTTATTTAATCTGGAGAGTGAAATAATTATGAGGGATATCATTCACCCAAAGCGTGTGTCAGTAGCTGGAAGAAGCAGCAATAATATCAGGTATGCTGAAGTACTGTTGGCAGAGTAAAAAACCTGCTCCAAGAACTAGTGGCAGCATTAACAGAAGCGAGTAAAATAAGGGACTAACAATAAACAAAAAGAAAACTGAGGTTATGGTAAAAACGCGCACAGGCGCACGCGCGCGCACACAAACACACACACACACACGCACACACACACACACACACACACACACACACACACACACACACACACACACACACATACACACACACACACACACACACACACACAAAAAAAAAAAAAAAAAAAAAAAAAAAAAAAAAAGGAAAGCCCAAGATTCAACATGGAGGTAGAAGGAAGGTCATTAAATCAGGTTGACCAGTTCAACGATCTAGGTAGCGTGAAAACATGGGATGGGAAAACTGAGAATGAAATACAAAGGATAACAATAAAAAAAATCAAGTTATGTAAAACACTTGGTCAATAACATTAAGCTAACAATAATAAACATATACAAAAGAACCTAGAAGTATCAGAAATGTGGCTATGGAAGAGTACCCGTAAATTTCATGAACGGGAGAAAACAAATGAAGTATAAAAGTATGGGAAGAAAACAAGGATTAATGGAAGTAAGAATGGGAATAAAACGAACAGTAATGGAAGTGATTAGAGAAAGACTTACAATTCATAGGTCATGTAATAAGGGAACAAACAGAAAATATCTGCCTAACAGGAAAATTTGAGGGAAAGAGATCAAGAGGAAGACAACGCCTAAAATACATTGATGGACTAGGAGAGAGTAACACTAATGCAGCTATTCATGACACCGAATAGAGAAGGCAGGCGTTCCATGATGGCCAACTCCAGAGCAACACCAGCAGCCACTAAAAAGTACAGGATAAATACAAATAAGATTAAAAACCTGTGGCTCTTGCTGTGGACGTAGGAGTTTGGTGTTATTAGATACTTTTATTTTTCCTTACAAATGTAACGAAACAGGCGTGATTTACACATCTAAATCTTCTTGAAAGAAATCAATTTCGTCCTTGATATCTTTTACTTGTTTTGTTGATGACTCATTACAATTGATTGTGAATAAGTCCGATGGAGATTTGTTGATGTCAGAATCCAATGAAACCTTTAATTTGCTCACACTGGCTAGTAATTCAGAATGGTTGTCGCAATGACTGCGGCATCCAACCATGGGGATAAGTTTATCTAAAACTGGTTTTGATTTTGTGTTTTCTGAGTCAGCGGTTAAGTAATTTGTCGTCTGATTATTTGTATTAGTAGTCTTTTTTGTTGGATGTAATTTACTTCCACCACTTTTCAATCCATATTCTGTTACCTCAACCTCAGTAAAGCATGCTTCTAATTTGAAATTTGCATCGGCATTATTGAAGGCTAGCATTTTCGATTCACCTATCGTTAAATGAGGTGTAATTCGCGCTGGCCCTTGAGTATCTGAAGACAGCGTGGCGATGGGAGCCGATGTTGGGAAAAAAAAAAAAAAAAAAAAAAAAAAAAAAGGAAAACCCAAGATTCAACATGGAGGTAGAAGGAAGGTCATTAAATCAGGTTGACCAGTTCAACGATCTAGGTAGCGTGAAAACATGGGATGGGAAAACTGAGAATGAAATACAAAGGATAACAATAAAAAAAATCAGTTATGTAAAACACTTGGTCAATAACATTAAGCTAACAATAATAAACATATACAAAAGAACCTAGAAGTATCAGAAATGTGGCTATGGAAGAGTACCCGTAAATTTCATGAACGGGAGAAAACAAATGAAGTATAAAAGTATGGGAAGAAAACAAGGATTAATGGAAGTAAGAATGGGAATAAAACGAACAGTAATGGAAGTGATTAGAGAAAGACTTACAATTCATAGGTCATGTAATAAGGGAACAAACAGAAAATATCTGCCTAACAGGAAAATTTGAGGGAAAGAGATCAAGAGGAAGACAACGCCTAAAATACATTGATGGACTAGGAGAGAGTAACACTAATGCAGCTATTCATGACAACGAATAGAGAAGGCAGGCGTTCCATGATGGCCAACTCCAGAGCAACACCAGCAGCCACTAAAAAGTACAGGATAAATACAAATAAGATTAAAAACCTGTGGCTCTTGCTGTGGACGTAGGAGTTTGGTGTTATTAGATACTTTTATTTTTCCTTACAAATGTAACGAAACAGGCGTGATTTACACATCTAAATCTTCTTGAAAGAAATCAATTTCGTCCTTGATATCTTTTACTTGTTTTGTTGATGACTCATTACAATTGATTGTGAATAAGTCCGATGGAGATTTGTTGATGCCAGAATCCAATGAAACCTTTAATTTGCTCACACTGGCTAGTAATTCAGAATGGTTGTCGCAATGACTGCGGCATCCAACCATGGGGATAAGTTTATCTAAAACTGGTTTTGATTTTGTGTTTTCTGTGTCAGCGGTTAAGTAATTTGTCGTCTGATTATTTGTATTAGTAGTCTTTTTTGTTGGATGTAATTTACTTCCACCACTTTTCAATCCATATTCTGTTACCTCAACCTCAGTAAAGCATGCTTCTAATTTGAAATTTGCATCGGCATTATTGAAGGCTAGCATTTTCGATTCACCTATCGTTAAATGAGGTGTAATTCGCGCTGGCCCTTGAGTATCTGAAGACAGCGTGGCGATGGGATGCTCTGACCTATGTTGGGAAAGTTCACTACATCCCTTTTTTTCCTTGTGTATTTTCTGATGGCGTCTTACACTACTTTTCTCTGCAAACTTCTTACCACAGTAGGTGCAACTGAAAGGTTTTTCACCCGTATGGATGAACATGTGATTTCGTAGGTGTGACTTCTTGATGAATATTTTTTTGCAATGTTCACACTTCAGAGTAAACCTATTTTGCCTTTCAAAATGTAAACATTGATTATTATCTGTCGCAGAATGCTCTTCTGAATGTTTATCACTTGGATATATTTGTCTTGGTTTCGCATTTCTTGAAGGACCTGCTGACCTGCTGACATCCTCACAGTATTTAGTTTGTCTCTTCTTGTGATTTTTAGTGTGACGGGTCAGGTGGGATCTCTGAAAGAACTTCTGATCACACTCATCACACGTATAAGGCTTTTCTCCTGTGTGAAGTCGGACATGTGTTGTAAGGTGAACTCTTTGAGCAAACTGTTTACCACAGTCGTTGCATTTATATGGTTTTTCCTTTGTATGTATCTTTCCATGTAGTGTATAATTTGAGCGTTGCCGAAACCTTTTATTACATATTCCACAAACATATGGCTTTTCACCTGTGTGGAGTCTCGTGTGGTGTAACAATGTACTTTTGTGAGTAAATTTAAGTTCACATTCAGTACATTTGTATGGTTTCTCACCTGTGTGTAACCTCATATGACACGTAAGACTACTCTTTTTGGTAAAAATCTTTCTACATATTTTGCAGCAATGAGACTTCCTGTCATTTTGATTTTGTTTTTCTGGGTCAGACTGGACTTCTCCGTTATAACCAAGACTTTGGGAAGGTTTTTCAGCCATCTATAGATGATTAAGCACTTTCTTTTTTTGCTGTCACAAACCAAATCACCATTCAGTGTGGGGCACAACAGTGAAGGAAATAAGCTGCATACAAACTCAGTCTGCGCAACTTTGCTGGTATTCATGTTTACTTGTTGACGTACATGACATATACACCCACTGTGTAACACTTGAAGAATTATCAGCAATTGAAGACTTGTCGACCGCCAACCACTGGAAATATGAAAAAATAGCAGTTAATGACACTGTATTCAAAAGACCTGAGCTACACTACTGATATATGTAGTTCTGTGTGACTTAATGTAATCATCGCAAGCATGTGACCTTAATATTATCTAATGTTTGATGACCGTTGTCCCCAAGTGTTGATGCACAGCCCTATCTACCTCTTAGATTTAAAAGAAAGAAGCTGGATATGTCCCCCAAAGTATAGCACTTTGGATGCCAATGTATAAGGCTTTCTATTTATCCATTAATCTTTGTGAAGCAGCTTCGAGTCTCAGGGTTTCCTGAACTAATGATCTGAATGCCTTCTTGAAATCGATGTAGGCTGCAAGTAGCACAAAAGGATGAGCACAAGCACTTAACCCTGAATGATGAGCTTTCAATTTGTTTGGGAGAAAGGAGTACCAGATGGTAGCCAAGACAGAATCCAGTCCACAAGCCGTGGGTTTACCAACTGACCTCAGCATTTCAACTAGGAGACTGTCTCACTGGTTTCTGTCAGGATAGGAGGTTCTTCGGTAATGGGAGAATCAGGCACTGAGATCATAAAAGCACCCATGGCCTTGTTTGAAATACTCAGCACAAAGCTATCATACTTTATATGTCTTGCACACACACACACACACACACACACACACACACACACACACACACACACACACACACACACACACACACACACACACATATGTCAGCATTATTTGGGAGGATCTAATCATCTACTGATCGAGCTGTTGCCATCTGTAGGGTAGGGCTTTGAGTTCAGCCTCAGGACTTGGTACACAGGGCAAGGGTCTTGTTCCCTCAGAAAAGGTTTTCGCCCTCTTTATGAAGATATGAACTATATTTTCTAAGGTTGTTCTGTGGCAGATGAAGGATCTTGTTAGGTGATGCTTACATCCTGAAGATAGAATGATATATAAATCCCTGCAACAACAGACCTGTATATATATGTATATATGTACATATACATATATATGCATATATATACATATATATACACACACACACATATATATGATATATATATATATATATATATATATATATATATATATATATATATATATATATATATATATATATGCATGCGTGTATGCTTATTGGAGTCAACACTAGACAGGACCAACTCTGCTGGAGGGGCTTAACAGTGGCATCCCGGCTGAACTACTCCCCCTCCTACCAAGATGCACCTAAGCCAGTAGGTGGGGGGTAACTCGACTGTTTACCTCTCAATCGAAAACCGTGACTGCACAGAGCAACGGCCCTCATTCCTCAGAGGCGAAGGAGCCCCTGGTTACGGCGGCGATTAGGATCATTCCGGAGCAGAGGATGCTAAAAATCTCCAGTTAAAGACAGGCCGCCCCACGTTGATGAACCTTTGCACACACAATATAAAGACTTTGAGAACTGAATCTGACTTACCAGAATTACTTGAGGAACTCTCTTTCATTAAATGTGATTTCTGTTAAGTTAAAGGACTAGGCAAAGAACAGAAAATACTAAATGATGAAGACGTGCTCTATTGGACAAGTAAACCCCAGGGTAGCAAGAAGGAATTAGGGGTTTCTTAGTTCACAAACATTTAGAAAAGAATATGGAATTCTATAGTATAAGCGAAAGAGTGACTTCGGTAACAATAAAAGTATACGATAGGTACAACTTAAAGATTGTTCAAGTCTTCTCTGAAGATGTTCATTTAACCGGTAAGAGAGTAAAATTCTACTTCACAATAATTATGGGAGATTTTTATGCCAAAATAAGTAAAAAGACAGAAGGAGAAACCGTAGTGGAGAACCACGAAATAGGCTAGGAATGAGAGGGGACAAATGTTAATCAATTTTGTGGAAGCTCAATCACTCAATATCATGAATACATTCTGGAGTGGAAGTGGACATGGAAGTCGCAATCTGGCATCAAAAACGAAATTGACTTCATAATTTCAAAATAAGCGTGATAGAGTAAATAATATGAAAGATATCAATAAAGTAAATGTTGGACAAATTAAATTACACCTCGGAAGGGAAAGGAATAACCTCATACAAAAAAAAACTTGAAGACCAGAGTAACAGAATTTCACCTTAACACTCAAAACAATTATTCATTTCTCAGCGACGAATATCTCAACACTGACCAAATCAACGAACAGTTCAATGATTTAATAAAGGAAACTATAGCCTAAGCACAAAACAGAAGGCAAGCTAGCTCGAGGTAGACCGAGAAAAACATATTTTAACAAACACTTCGATGCCTCAGGGACAGAGCCCGACAGCATGGAACCTGGCGCCATGTTTCATATATATGTATACAAATATATATATATATATATATATATATATATATATATATATATATATATATATATATATATATATAGATAGATAGATAGATAGATAGATAGATAGATATATAGATATAAATAAATACATATAATTTATAAATATGTAAATATACATATAAATATATAAGTACACACACACACACACACACACACACACATATATATATATATATATATATATATATATATATATTCATACACACACACACACACACACAAATACATATGTCAGCATTATTTGGGAGGACCACCGTAAGCCACTATATGTAAGCGTAAGAGAGATGTTGGGAGTACCACTGTCACAGATGTAACGGAAGTGAGATGGTCTTGGGGAGGTCAATGAAAGGGTTCTTAGCTTGCTGGTTTATTTATGAAGGTAGATATGAGACCCCCCAAGAGACCCCCGTGACCCCGGGTGGAGGACGCGGTGGTGGAGCTGGACCCTGTGTGGCTTGACCTGTCTGCCGTGTCTCTCTCCTTCGTCTTACGCACGTGCCCTTTTATGCGGCGGTTTCCTTGGAGGGCGGATGTTTATTCCGTGCGAAAAGAGCAAGGCAGGCAGCACCTGCGTCCTGCCCAAGGAGAAAGGCAGCTGCTTAGACGGAGCTGTAAAGTTTGCCATCCGGTCTTGTTACGTATTGTTCACATCGCTCGGCCACGCGCAAGGCTCGTCCTCGATCCGTCTGCAACGCTTGAAACACTGCAGTAGCGCATATGGATACAGATGGTTCCTGGTAATCCGATGGTCGCTAGGGTCGTCGCGTGCCAGGGTAGCGGGTGTGGCGGAGGTTTCGCATTGAGGTGCAACATTCAGTAGCGAGGAGGGCAATCATCTGCAGAAGCTGAAATATAAGTGTACCAGGCCAGTAAAAGGGCTAAGGAGGAGGATAACGTGTTTGTCAATCACCTTACTAAGTTGCAAGAAAAAATGAGAGCATAATAAGAACAATTTGTCACAAGAAGGGTTACGTGTCAAGTAAGTGGGTGCTAATTACTTGGATTTGTTAGGATTAGCGAGATCTGTAGAGCACCATCATAATGAAGAGAGAAAAAATAATTGAACAAGAATTCCATATCTTTGGGCTAAATAGGCAAGTATATATGCTTCGAACATATAGGCAGCTGGGCCTGAACTTAATTTTAACAGTGCGCGTCTCGGCGCTTCAATCGTATGAGTGCCGTTTACGGCCATGAGCCAGGCAGAAATTCAACTTGCGGTAATAATCTAACAGTGCACGTCTCGGGCGCTTCAATCGTATGGGCGTAAGTAACTTTTCTGTGCGGCTGACACAGGATTCATTCGTTTACGGCCATGAGCCGGGCTTAAAATTAATTTGCGGTGATTATAACTATGTAAGCCTATATGAAGTATGGTGTCTGTAGTGCATTATCAGCGTTATGATTATTTGCAACAGAAGAGACAACCATCAGTCAGATACAGGTTACATATTCACCAATTCCTTAAATTAAAGAAGCATAAATTCTAGCATAAATGAGGATAAGATATCGAACTTCGAGAGAACGCTATGAGAGCGATTTGGGTTCAATTAAAAGTCCTAGGGATGGCACTTAGTAAAATTCATAATCCTAGAGTGAAATCCGTGTAGAATGGGCAGTTAGGTGGGTTTGGGCCTAAGGCAGGTAATCGACATATATATGTGTGAAAAAGCGGTCGATTAGCGTGGGAAGTATAAGAAAATACACGTGTTGTGAAAGACAGAACGATATATGCACATTCATAGAGGAAGTAATAACGAAACACTTATTATTAGGGTACAGTATGCAAGTGAAAACAATAATATTACAACGAAAATCGTAGCAGTAAATATAAATAACATAACTGGGGAAAACTGAACATATTAATACATAGTTATGTGTTCTGGGAGAAAATAAAACATAATGAAGTGCAATGTGAGGACAACAATAATAAACATTAGATAAAACGTCAATAGCAGAAAAATATCATAGCAATTAAAATATGTTTACGAAAGGGGAATGAGGTGTGAGATGTGGTGTCTGTCACTTGGGTTTAATCTCAGTGTGTGACTTCGTTTGTTGTGTTGAAAAAACAATGGTTGACAGCGAGAAGTTATGTAGAATATAGTTAGTAGTTTGTGTTCATTGAGTGACGTGTACTTGAATTTGAAAGAAGGCAACTCGTATGTAAGGTGTGGGTGGGTATAGGGAAGGCAGTAGTTAATCTGGCACTAATAGGCACACTTACTTTTAATAGTAGCTAGGAAGTATTGGTGGTGCTGAGTAGAATGGCGGCTCCATTGTTGTGCTGACGAGGGTTCGTGAAGACTTGGAGAGGTAGATGAGCCGGATTGGCAAGTGTGACGACATAGAACGCGGGAACATATCGTCAGCGACTTCGTCAGGAGGGTAGTACAGGCGTGAATGGTTAGCACGAAGTAGCAGGGTAGACATGGTACGAAGAAGACTTGGTAGCGATGGCTGGGCGTTAAAAGAGACGAGGAGGCACTTCGACAGGAATACTTTGTCGGCAGATAGCGAGGATCGGTAACAGGCGTCGGCGAGGAGCGTGGTGGTAGGTGAATTACCGTCGGTGGTAGGTGAATTACCGCTGCCATCAGATGTAAGCGTAACAGAGATTGGTCTAGGGGCGGTCAATGAAAGGGGTCTT